TTTATATCTGGGAATTTCAGATGAAGCCATTAGTTCGGTTCTGGTAAGAGAAGAAGCCAAGCAGCAGAAACCAATATATTATATCAGTAGTGTGCTGCATGGAGCCGAGCTGAGGTATCCTATAGCTGAGAAAGCAACCTTAGCAGTTGTTACTTCGGCCAGAAAGTTGAGGCCATATTTCCAGTCGCACCCGATCATTATTCTTACAGACCAACCCCTTCGGCAGATTCTGCAAAAGCCTGAGTGTTCTGGAAGATTAATTAAGTGGGCAGTAGAACTGGGGGAATTTGAGATAGCATTTCAGCAGAGATCTGCAATCCGAGCTCAGGCACTGGTAGATTTTATTGTGGAGTGCACTCCAGGTGATTCCATTCCTACTTTGGAGCCCAATGACTGGACCTTATATGTTGATGGGGCATCTAATAGCAAAGGTTCAGGAGCTGGTGCTCTCTTGATCGGCCCAGATGGATACCGAAGTGAACATGCTTTGAAATTTAACTTCGATGCAACAAACAACATGGCTGAACTTGGTCTGCAGCTAGCATTGGAATGAAAACTCAGTACGATCCAAGTATATAGTGACTCCCAGCTGGTGGTGAACCAAATTAACTCAATCTACGAAGTTGTTGATCCTGTGATGGTGAAATACGTAACTCTGGTGGCCGACCTGAAGTGCAAATTCCAGAAATTTTGTCTGAGCAAAATCCCCCGAACTGAGAATGAACAGGCAGATTCACTCTCTAAATTCACCTCTGATAGTTCTTCACATTCCATATCGGTTTTCGTGGAGGTCTTAGATGAACCAAGCTTCATGAAGCCACGGGTAATGGAGATCAGCACCGACCCAGGCACACCGAGCTGGACTGACCCAATCCTCTCCTTCTTATGAGACGGGATAGTACCTGCAGACAAGCAGGAGGCAATGAAGTTGAGGAGGAAAGCATCTCGGTATACACTTGTTGATAGGGTCCTCTATAAGCGATCTTTCTCTTTACCTCTTCTACGGTGCTTGAATCCCTATGAAGCAGAATATGCACTCAGGGAGGTGCATGAAGGTGTCTGTGGAAGTCACGTGGGTGCTCGAACTTTAGCTCACAAGGTCCTTAGACAAGGTTATTATTGGCCCAACATGTACAAGGATGCCACTCAGTTCGTACAGAGGTGTCAAAAATGTCAGTTCTTTGCACATCTAAGTCACCAGCCTGCAGAAGAGCTCACTACGTTGGTGGCACCTTGGCCATTCGCTCAATGGGGTCTTGACCTTTTAGGCCCATTTGTGAAGGGGGTAGGAGGTGTAACCCACCTCATTGTTGGTGTAGATTATTTCACAAAATGGATTGAAGCTCGGGCATTATCCAGTCTCACCTCCAAGAAGGTCGAAGACTTTGTTTTCAGCTCGATTATTTGCAGATATGGGATCCCGAATCAGATTGTAGATGATAATGGAACTCAGTTCAATTGCTCCTCATTCCGAGATTTCTGTTCCAGTTACGGGATTAAACTGCAGTTCACCTCGGTTTACCATCCGGAGTCCAACGGCATGGTCGAATCTGTTAACAAGTGCATCTTAGAAGGTATAAAGTCGAGGCTGGAACAACACAAGGCCAAATGGGCAGACGAGCTCAACAACATCCTCTGAGCATACAGAACTACGAGTCGAACTACCACAGGTTTTACTCTACACCTGGCTTATTCGATTAATTTTATATTATTTTACTTCTTCTGCTACGGTTTTACCTTAGAGCAAATATGCATAACGTGTAAAGCGCATTCTAAAGTTATAATCCCCTGAAATAGGTGAAACACCCTATCATCTGGCCTTTGGTACCGAAGCAGTCATTCCTATCAAGATAGGAGTCCCAAGCTTCAGGGTCACCCATTTCAATGAAGGGCAGAATGGACAACTGCTTCGGGAGAACCTTGATCTGCTTGACGAAGTCAGAGAAGAAGCACGACTTCGAACTCTAGTCTACAAGCAGAAGGTAGCAAACTTTTACAACAAACGAGTTCGACCCCGACCATTCAAAGTAGGTGACCTTGTTCTTAGGAAAGCTGGTCTAACGGGGTTCGAAACTCGATTTGGAAAGTTAGCACCAAACTGGGAAGGCCCCTACACCGTAGCCGAAGTGCCACACCTAGGTGCTTATATCCTACAAGACACTGAGGGAAAAAGGGTTCCTAGAGTCTGGAATGCCAATAACTTGAAGAAATTTTACCCTTAATACACTTCTTTCCAGTCAAATTTGTTTTAACCACCATTATTCTGATTGCTGTATATCAAAACTCAATTCATATGAATTTCACTTCATGTTCGCAGTAATTCAGTTCTGTGAACTCTGCTATGCGTTGGAAGTGGGTTTCATTTATTTCTGAAGTCAGTTCATTCTTACTCATTCAGTCACTTCATTTTTAGGGTTATAATCCTATTAATCAGTTACACTTTATTTTTGAAGTGCTTTACTTCATCTTTGAGGTATACCTTATGGACATCCGAAGTCAACTACTATACTGTTTATTTTATCCGAGGTCAGAACCTTGTGTTAATTCAGGGTAACTTATTTTATCTAAAAAGAGTTCCTCAAAGAAAAACATCAATCACAAATCAAAAATCGAACACCAGATAATAATAAATTCAAAAATTTTATACGTTAATCTCAAATACAAAAATGTTATTTACATCAATAACGCAAAAAATCCTAAACTACTATGTTGGAGGAGGAGGCTGCTCCTCAGTAGGAAGAGGTGGTGATCTGGGCTTGTCTTCAGCAGGCTGAGGCGGCACTTCTGCTTCGGGATGGGCCGACTGCTGCACTTCATCAGAAGAGACTGGATGCACCTCGGGAGGCTGCACTTCGGCCACAGCTGCCTGATCCTCAACCCCAGCGCCTTGTGCTTCTTCTTCTTCTTCTTCCTCCCCCACTGCCACCAACTCAGCCTCAAAGGCTGGAGGAAAAATAGTGAGCCCCTCTGCATCACGCTCCCACCTCAACGTGATCTGAGGTCGAAAGTTAGCACAAAGGCTCTCCCCATCTTCCTCCACCCCTTCTTCTTGTTCCCCAAAGGTGACTGTTGTCATGTCCACCTCTGGGTACTGGGCCTTCACCTTCTTTCTACAGTCGGTGAAGGCCACGATTACGGTTGGCAGTCGGTAGAGTTTGAGGATGTTCTCGAAGGTGCTGGAGTTGAGGAAGTTGCCAATGTGCTCCTCCATCCCGTTGTGAACCAACAGGTTCATGTTCTTATTCAGCTCCGCTGCTCCTTTCCTCATGTTGTCAATGTATTTGTCTTGAGTCTCGAGCTTCTCCTCACAGATCTTCCTCTTACGTTCTTCGAGGACAAGCTTCGTGCTCAGGACATCATTCTCGTTCTGGAGCTTGGTCACTGAAGGGAGAACTTCATCCAGCCTCCTCTGCATCTCCCTCTTCTCCTTCTCCCATTCCCCCTTCTCCTTCTGCAGCTCATCCTTCTCCTTCTGCAGCTGCTCGCACTGCCTCTGCAAGCTGGCACGATCTCTCACGCTCTCTGCATACTCCTGCACTAGCGCGTTTGTCCAGCTCGCACTCTACAATGCAATCAGAAGTCAGACATCAAATACAGAGGTCAAAAAACTCAAACATACAACCGGAGTAAATTCCAACTATTTCGCATACCTCTAGGGCGTGCCTCACAACGGTATACCCCACATGGCTAACCACCTCGTCCTTCGCCTGCATCCTATCCACCTCAAGAAGAGTAGAGTTGAGGAAGTGCTTCGCCCCAGTTGTGTTTGTCGCCTCAAACAAACTCTTCTGGTACACGTGAGGAGGGATGGGCTCCTTGCCCCCACCAAGGCCTCACACCTCGACCTCTTCCCTCTCCCTGTCTTCAAGGTTGATTTCTGGAGGAGAAGGCCGGGGCACGAACTCCACCACCTCGTCCCCTCTGGCTTCTGGCTCTGCCACCCTCCTCTTCTTCCTCTCGAGAGGTGCCACCTCCTCACTTACGTCCTTCTGGTTTGGTGCAGTTACACAGACGAATCCCATTCAAGAATATCAGGTGGTAATCGCATTCACTCTTCAACACAATATGAATTGTCTTGGATGCTGCCTTTTCATTTAAATTCTGAAATTTGCTTTCTCATACAATATTTACTGACTATGAAGAAAGCTAAATTCTTTTGCTGGCTCTATTTCAGAAGATTTCAACTTCAACCCTGTTATATTATTTGTCATAGACTAATATCATCACCTTGCATCCCAGGTTGCTCACATTCCTGGTGCGTGGGGAGGAGAGCATGGATCAAGGAATTTCTCAAAATAATTTTGTTAGAACAGAGGATTATGACATGATTTTACTTCAAAATTTCATAGCTCTATTCTTAATGAAAAATTAATCAAGATGATTATTTGACATAAGTTTTAATTTTTTTTTATGCGACTTAAATGTAGTATATTTTATTTTTGTAATATTAAAATATAAGTATTTATCTAGTATTTTTGTTTTAAAATATGAGTAATTAATTTCTAATCATCAACTTTAAACTAATGATAAAATTAAAGTTATATAAAAATATAATAAAAAATGGAATGAGAGTGGGACTAAGTAAAAATATCTATTTTAGTTATTTTAATATTACAGTAAATTAAAAAATCTTTTATAAAAAAATTTATCAAATAATTTTTCAATTTATTAGTATTTTTATATTTTTATAGAAAATTTTACCAAATATTTTTAGTTTCTTAAAAATAGTGTTGTTATAATAGATTTTTTTTAACATGATTTTTATTAAAAACTCCAATCACACCGAATAGCTTTAAATTTTTTAATTTTACTTTTGCTTTTTCTTTTTTCAGAAAAGAAATTGCACTCACACCAAGTGTTGCCAGCGTTCTCCTTTCTACAAAAAGAAACCAAGGGCTCATCTTCTCTTTTGTTGATTTTAGTTTTTATATTTGTTATTATTTTAAAAATATATAGAATGTAAATTGAAATAAATATTAAACACATTAAAAATATTTTATATATTTTGAGATATTAAAAGATTAAAAAAACCCACCATTATAGTTGTAGTCCAGCATTCCCAAACCAAGCATAATTCGATTATCGAATCTCTTGTTGCAGATGCCTTTGGTGTTTGTAGGCCATGACCATTTAATTTCGGTGCCTAGACAGTGTCCGCTGACCCCTTCGTAGCAGGAAAAAGAAAAACAAGGACCCATTTATCATTGCTTTAATTGTTGAAATGATCTCTTTCACAATTGCACATTCAAAACCCATATGCAACTTCTTCATCCACAGGTTTTTTCTTATGTGTGAAAGCAATTGTCATGAGAGGACTGCGAAGAAAGACAAACCATTCAAAAGAAAATGATAATATAGGTTTTTATTGAAGAGGTGATGTGTATCAACCATCAGTTGGAACACAGGGTCTTGCATAGTGCAAAGACATCAAATGGTTTACAGAAGTTTGTTGGTGCAGAGAGCTGTGATGAATAGTTGAAGTTGAATTTACAGATTCCACTAATTTAGGCAACCAAACAGTATCCCTTACTTGCTTCAGTGTCTGCGTATGCAACAGCTTCTGCCCCATGCATGATATTTCGATCTACGAAAACGATCAAACATTAAGAAAAAAAATTTCCCATGAAATTTTATATATGCTAATGGATAGAAAAAGAATATGGGGAAAATTTAGGGCTTGTTTGATAACGTTGTCATTGTTAGGCCTTTTTTTAAAAAAAAAAAAAAATTTTAATGATTGATTAAAATTGACAATTAGAATTCAAAATTAAAAATGGAAACTAACTTGTTAAGTACATATTTTTAAAACTAATAACCAAAATGAAAATTTTTTTTAGGGTAGTGCTATAAGAATAATTTTTTTATATTTTTTTTTTATATAACTTTCACATGTTATTAAATTAGTAGAGGCATTCAATATCATAAGTTTCATATAAATTAAAAGAATCAATCATTTTAATAACATGTCAAGTTGTATAAAAAACTAAGATAAAAAGATTATACAAAAATCATTTACTTTTTTTTAATTTGTTAATCCTTGTAATTTTAATTTACTAATTTGCAATTTTGGGCAATAATAACGAAAAACCGAGAACAATGTTATTAAATAGGCAGCCCTTAGTAGATTAGAGGTTATCTGAGATTTGTTCTTAACTTTAACCAAAAATCCAGTTATTATGATTATTACATACAAACTCGATTAATCTCCTAATGATACCTGATAGAGATGAGAAATTATATTAATTGACATACATTTTAATTTAACAAACTGTACAATACTTATTAAAAAATTATTATTTTTTAATTTAAAATTAAAGGTGGATCAACAAACTTAAAGATATAGAATTCAGGATGTAATGTGGACTACATGAGTTGTACTTATATTATACTTTTAATAATTGAATCGAAACAAGTGCTTGAAAGTTTATTGAACCGATTCAACTCATTCAACACATTTTTTCATATTTATCAATTTAATCATTATAAATATAATATAAGTACAACCAATTGAGTTGATTTTTATATCATGTGCATATGATTACATCGTTAAATTTGTTTGCTTTTAATTTTATATAAAAAATTAATTTTTTAATAAATATGTTGTGCAATATGTTTAATTAAAATATATATCAATTAATGTCCAATAGAAAAACTGCAACTTATGCTCATAGCTCAGGCGGAATATTATTAAGTTGAATACTAAAGAGAAAATGAATATAGTAGATCAGTAAGACTACTAGAAAAATGCATTGCCAAACGAAAATGAATTTTGTTAAGAGCAGAGCCTAGCTGTGGTTTTTGAAAGAAGCTTTATACAAGGTCAGAAACTAGTACCTAGTAAGCTACTTATTTGAGTTTCTACAATGGTACTAAAGTTATTTCAGAAGCTGTGTCAAACATAAGTAACCAAAATTCAATTATTAATTATAAAGCTTGTGATTGGATCTATTAAGCCTAAAAAACCTTAATTGTTATTACTTCCATCACATGTAATTACATTATTATCATAATTTAAGAATATATTTGGTTTGAGAAAAATGAAGAGACGAAGGTTGGGAGGAGAGTGAAATTTTTTAGTTCAATCAAATGAAAATATTAGTTTAAAATCTAAATTTTTTAAGAAAATGATAGGTATACTATTTAATTTAATATATTGCATAATATATTAATTAAAAATTATTATTTTTTAGTATGAAAGTAATGGTTGACAAACTTAAAAATGTAGTCATGCATACAACATGCAAGAATTAGTTGAATTAGTTATATTTATATTATATTTTAATTGTTAAATTAGACATATGTTGAAAAGTGTATTAAAATAGAGAATGCACTAATTAGTATCCAAATTTTAATTTAATTAAATAAAAACATTTTTCTTCCCTTTTCATACTTTATTTTCCTTAAACTAAATATACACTGAAGTATTATTAATATCACTCTAAATATAATTTTACTCTCTTGTGCGGAGTATATTTGTAAGAGAGAATGATGCTTTCAAAAACTTATATTATTTAAAGGGACACATAAGTAAAAGTGCAACATTTTAGGCCGGTGTGCCAACAACCGACCCTACCATCAGTGCATGTACGCACAACCACAATTTTTGACAATATTATGATCATTATTTCTGTGCAATAGAGATAAATTGTGCATTTATGGGGATGTAAAGAAAAAGAGAAGACACATGAAAATGCACACACAAATTTGAATATCTATGGATGACAATATTTAAGTCCACATATGTCAAAACATGTCTTAGCCTCAACAAGGGTTCTTAAATCTCTAACTATTTTCTTCTTAAATGTATTGTTCAATTTCCTAGTCTTTTTAATTGTATTGTCCAATTCATAAGAAAAAAGAAAAATTCGTTGTCCAATTTTCTAAGAATGGCTATCATATAGTAGCATATATATAAGTTTTTAAGTAGGAAAATCTCATGATGAACAAATAGTAAAGAGACATGTGACATAAATACAAGAAGAATACTACTTCACATATTGACAATTAGTTTTAAATTGAATGTAAACAATTTTATTAAGTTTGCATATTCAATTTACACATGGTATCAAAACACAAACTTTTTTACTAATTTCTCCCAAGATTCATGTGATAGGATCCAAAGTTCATATTGAGTTTGCATTTGAGGACGACGTTTTAGGTGAAACAATCTAACATCAAATAAACAATAAAGAAATATGTGGTTTAAATATAAGAAGGATTAATATACCTATTGCTAATGAATTTCAAGTTAGATGCAAATTTTGTATTAAATCTCACATGTTCAATTTTCACAAAAAACTCTAGAAATCAATTGGAAATCACACTATATAGATATTTGGAGTAACTAATTGAGGTAAATCCATTAATTTGGGAACATATAGCTAGAGTGCAAGCCCTCCACACAAAGTGCCTAACTACCCTTCTCTCATCTGTGGATGGACGCCCCTAGTTTATGACTTCGAACTTTAAGAGTTCACCACTTTCTCCCCTTCCCTTTGTGGTATAATATAATTGCCCTCTTTCAAAAGAAAAAAAAAACAAAAAAGAAAAAAGGCTAGAGAGAGGGAATAATGAAGTGGGGAAGAAGATAATTGAAGCTAATTGGCTTAAAAAAATCGTATTGTCCAATTTTCTAAGAATGGTCATCAAATAGGTAGCATATATAAGTTCTGAATTGGGAAAATCTCATATTGAACAAACAGTAAAGAGACATGTGACATAAATACAAAAAAAGTGTTATTTTTTTTATTGTTTATTAATTTTTTAAATTAAATGTAAATTTTGTATTTAAATTGATATGTTCAATTTTTATATAATATAATATTAGGTTACAAACTTTGTTACTGAAAAGCAAAGATTCACGTGACAAGATTTATATCAAGTTTGTACATAGTGGTTTGTGTGAGGTGAAAAAATTTAACATTAAACAAATAAACATGTAATCTAAATACAATAAGAGCTAGTCTATATATCACTAATTAATTTTAAATTAAATACAGTTCTTGTATTCAATCACAGTTGTTCAATTTCTATATAACGCTTTAGAAATCAATGAAAATCAGGCTATATATATAGAGAGATTCGGAGAAATTAGGCAATTCCATTAAGTTGGCAACGTATAGCTAGAGTGCAAGTCCGCCACACGCTCAAGGGCCCAACGACCCTTGTCTCATCTGTGGATGGACGCCCATAATTTCTGACTTCGAACTTAAAGGGTTCACCATTTTCTCCCCTCCCCTTTGTGGTATAATTAAAATAATTGCCCTCTTTCCAAAAAAAAAAAAAAAAAAAAAAGCTAGAGGAATAATGAAATGGGAAGGATGATCTTTGCAGCTAATTAGCTAGAAATCTAATTAATAATGTATACTGTTTTTCTCATTTGTGATCAGATTAGAAACCCTACAAAAACCTATTTGAAACCCTAACAATTCATTACAGATGCAAGACCAAGGAGAAAAGGTCAAACATACAGATGGCACAACTTTATGAAATGATAGAACTTGTCATGCACTGAGATCTGACCAACACAAGAATATCTCAGTTTCATGCTCATGCATAATCATTAATGAGTAAGAAAAATGGAAAAGAGTAAAAAAAAGTATATAGAATTAGTTGTAATTACCTCAGCTTCGTTGGAGAGACCAAGCTTTGTAACCAGGTACTTTTTAACCATTAAAACCGTCAAGTTCTCGTCCCTTTTTCAAATCAAGACAACATACAATAACCCAAAAAGAAAAGCAAAGTCAGCTTTTTCCTCACTCATATAATTTTCTGAAACACCATCATTAGCATGTTGAAAGGGTCGCAAAAAAGCAGCAAAAACGTGACAGTAATACTCTTGTAATTATATATAGTCCATGATATGATATTGATTTTTTTTTTCGAGCCATCATTCTGATTGATGATCATATATGCTAACGTGCATCGTCACTTACTTCACTCTAATGTACGCCTTTGGAATTTGAGGCAGTTTTTCTCCCTTCCTATAAACACGTGAATTAAGCACATAATTAGAAGTTAGAAGTTTCATATTATAACCTTAAAAATTTTAAACAGATTTCATTTCATTTAGTAAAGTTGATCACAAACAGTAATGATCATAAAAAATGATTAACATTAATTGATACTGTGATATGTGGAAAAACTAGCTTACTGATTGGTGTAAGACTGCAGGGTGAACCAAAGGCCTGCAGGGTGGGGTCTGCATCTTCCTGATGTTGAGTGATTGTCATGGAGGTAATTGGGAACCTGCAGTTGCCAGTCATCATGCAAGCCAGGAATGCCATCTGAAGGCCATGATGCTAGATCATGATCAGTATGATCATCTTGATTTTTCCATAACCTATGATGATTACTAAATGGTACTGCCATATGATGATCTATTTCCCTATGATCATCATTATCTAACCCTAGTCCTAACGCTAAACGTAAACCTAAACCTAGCTCTGTTTGATGAGCTTGAAGTTGTGAAGAGGAAGGAGATACAGAGACTACAGATGGAACTGGAAATGGGTTTGGTAAAACACATTCTTCTTCTTGATGTTGTTGTTTCCCACATGCAGCACCAAACCCCAACCCTAGCTCCAGCCAGTCTCTATCCTTTTCTTCTTCTTCTGGTGGGGTTTTTTGTGAGGAGGAGGCCATGAATGCATATGCCCTCTTTCTGATCAAAACTTTTAGCTGAAGAAAAAAGTAGTAGGGTTTGGTTTGGCCCTTTTTGGAACGGCAAGGAAACTTGTCTTACTATTCATACCAAACCCACAATAGTCTTATTTATTGAAAAGATGATATAAAAGTAAGAAAAATCTACAATATGAATAATTGCTTGTGTATATAAAATCAATTGAAAACCTTTTGTTATGAGATTTGATGTGTGCATAAAAGAATCATGGAGAAAAGAAAGGATGGAAATATCGCTCTTTTCCGAGGCAGGCCCCTCCTTTGTTTGTGAGTTGTGTGTTTTCTTGCTGTGTTTGCATCTTAACAGTGGAGGAAGAAGTAGCACTTCGTTGTTAGTTTTCTATCAACAGCTTCCACAGCCACATGCAACAGAGCATCAAATGATTTTTCTGACCTTTGGATATTTCTGAAAAATTGTTTGCTTCCTTTATACGTACGAACATCTTACTGCAGTTTACTACATTGCTATTTCCACTCTTCTATCTATTCCTCTTTTCGCTACCTTTTCTATTTTCAAATACAAAAGGAAAGAAACATATCCAATTTTTTTCCTTCTTTCCATTTGAAGCTGAGTGGTGAACAAGGCATTGCACGAGTGCAAGATGGGTCAAATCCAGATATAACAATTCTCGATCGTCCTCCCATAATTAATTTCCTTTTCTTTACTTCTCATTAAAGATATATGTTTTTTGTTGTTTTTTCTACCGTACGGGGTTACACAATGAGCTAGCACGGATGTTGATTGATTTTCAGTGAATTATATGCCAATAAAATCCATGAATTTTTAAGAAATTGACAAAGAATTCCTTGAATTAAGAAATACAAGTTTTGGAACTTAAGTGCATGCTTTTTAAAAGATTAGGGACTAAATCACAAGAAAAAAAATTGGATTGAGATACCAAATTGAATAAATTTGATGTTTGGGAATCAAAGTAAAACTTGATGAGCAATTTCACCATTGTGGAAATTGCAAAAAGATCCACATTTCTCGTCACGCCATCACGGTCTAGGTGTCGATAGCACCAAACAAGCGTCGACACCTTTGATTAAGCAATTTGTCTGAAGTTCGTGTTGGGTACCTTCTGTTTTCATTAGACAATTTTCATCAGCATCAACAGCCACTGTGGTGTTGAAACCCTAGGCAATTTTCAGCAACTTTCTGTTGAAATCTTCATTTAATAATGCCTTGCATAGACTTCTTTATAAGATTTCATATAAATAAAAGCACAACTTTTTAAAATTTTTGTATTAATAATATAATTTTTTCTTTACAAATAAAGGCTAACATTTTTTAAAAGAAAATAAAAAATTAATAATTAAAATTACAATTACACTATAGTACAGATAAATAGAGTCAGTTTTTATCTTTGGCATAGGTCCTTTTTATCTGTTAAGATTATCATAATCTTTTATAAACACTCATACAAATACTCATTCAAAACTAGATTCGTGAAACTTTTTGGAGACCAAGAGAGAGATAGTGACGAGGGAATCAACATAAAAAAATGATCAAGATTTTTAATTCAACTAATTTTGCTTATCTTTAGATTTTCTTTTATGATATCAAATACTTTTATATTCATCATGGAATATTTGTTTTACTTTTTTAAATTATAAACTAATTTAGTTATTTAAGGCTATGATATAGCCTAATGAATTTAATTTAAAATTCTATGATTTTTATGCTTTCAAAAAGTTGTTATTCCATGTAAAATATATATTATTATTTCTACTGATTTTTAATGATTGACTAACATTATATTGATTTGGAAAGTATAATTGAGACCATTAAAAGATTTTATGTAATAATTTCTAGTAATAAATATTATGAATTAAACAAAAATCAGAGATAGACCAATGTAATTCCTGTAGCATATTAGTAATAAGTGGATTTCAAAGATCTTATGTAAACTCGAGAGTTTTACAAAATATAGGGCATCTATATTTATTTAAATGCATACAGAAATAGATATATGATGGGTTAATTCATAAAGATTGAATTAATATAACATGAGAAAATATTTTGAATAGCTTATAAAATCTCGATATCACATAAATAGTAAATAGCTTAAAAGCATATTAATTGGTATTCTATATTAGTTGATTATGGTAAAGTTGAATGCTTTAGAATATCAAACTTTGGTGTCACTAAATCAATTTATTGTTTTAATTAATTTAATTAATTAGTTAAATTAAGTCATTTAGTTTTAATTATTCAAATAAAATTAGAATTAATTAATTTTGATAATTAATTAATCTACAATCTATGTGAAACAATCCTCAATCTTATTATTATATTGTTAGAGTGGAATTTGCTTATCAAGTTTTTAGCATTGTTGTTAAGGGTTGTGTTAATTTGAATTAGGATAATGGTTAATATATCCTCTGATTTAATATATTTTACAACATACTTATTAAGAAATTATTGTTTTAAAATTTAAATTAAAAGTGAAAAATTTTAAACTATAGATTTTAATGGTAGAATTAGTGGGTATTAGATAGTTTGTTAAATTGAATATTGTACCAATTATTTTTTTTAATTAATATCAAAGCTTATTGATTCTAGTTTTAATTTGAATTTTTTTTCTTTTCTTGGGAAATCATTGGTACATACTCAGTTTAATATACTTTTTAATATTCATTTTAATTTAGTTATTAAAATATAATATAAAAAATTGATACACCTTCTAATTCAATATATCTTTTAACATTCGTCTAGTTTAACTATTAAAATATAATATAAGTATACTCAATTCAATTGGGTCCTACATATTGTATGCATAATTATATTTTTAAATTTGTTTGCTTTTAATTTCATATAAGAAAATAATAATTTTTTAATGATTGTCTGATGTAATGTGTTGAATTGAAGGTTATACCAATTAATGTCCTATAATATAAATACAACTAATTTAGCTAGTTCCTACATTTTATATGCATGACTATATTTTTAAATTTGTTTGCCTTTAATTTCATATCAAAATAATGATATTTTAATAAGAGTATTCACTATGAGAAAATGGATTATCAACAAGCAAGTATCGACAACATACATTGGCACGTGAATGATAGTGCACAATTACCAATATGTAACAAAATGTTGAATGGTAAAATAGTAACTCCTTATTGTGCTATGACAACTTGACAATTAACATTGTAAAATATATTGTTAAATAAAATTTCACTAAAATGATATGCCTTGCTAAATTTTTTTGATAGTTAGAGAATTTAGCAAAGTAGTACACATTAATAAATTAAAAAATTACCAAAGTAACAATCAATGCCAAATTCCTTTAGCAACTAGTACTATTCTCAAGTATGCCACATTGGTGAATTCATACAACATTGACACGACTCATAACGTTATTTGAAAGTTGATTGATAGTTATACCTACCTTTTAACTTAAACAAAATAACATTATAAAAAACATTAGTATTTTTTTTTTCAAAAATTCAGTATAAATAACCTTTTCTTACTCCATAACATTTGCTATTTGTCCCTCACTCTTTCAACTTAATTTATTTCTTGGCCATTAAACTTTGATACTTTCTAATGATTTCTTCACATGTAATTTTTTATTAAAATCGCAATTAAACCCTTAGACTTTTATTAAAGAATTAATAAATAACTTTGTCACATATTATAATATTATTACACATATGTAACCATTATCAAGTAATTAGTGCACTTTAAACAGAGATTTATAATTGAGATAAAAGGAAATTTGTTCATTTGGTTTAGATAAAATGCCCAAGACACCAAAAGAATACAGTGCAAATATTGTCTTGAAGCTCAATCTTAATATTTATCTTCAAGTTGAGATAATGACTCTATTTGATTGTAGATATTTAATTGTGTTCTCAATGTGTGAGTAATTTTTAATTAATTGTAATTGACTTTTTCATTTTGTAATTTTGTCAACTAAACAATCACAATTTTTATCTTTTGGAACTTTTTCAACAATTATTTAACTTGATTATAGATAATTACTATATTTAATATTTATCTTTAAGTTGAGATAATTACTTTATTTGATTGTAGATATTTAATATTCTATCCAATTTGTGAAAGTCATTAATTAATTCATTGTAGTTGACTAATTTTCTTTATTTTGAAACTTTTTCAATTACATTGTCATAGTTTTTATTTTTTAGAATTTTTTTAAGGTTAAATCCCCATTTTGGTTCCTCTACCTTGGTAAAAATCTCCTTTTTAGTCATTCTACTTAAAAAAGCCCCTTTTTGGTCCTAAAGTTTGAAATTCGGCCCTTTTTGAGTCCTTCCATTAAGTTTTGCATACACGATACATTAGATGATGGAAATTTCAAAGTAGATGGACCAAAAAAGTGACTAAAAATGGGCTAAAATTGCCCCAATTTGGTTCCTCTACTTAAAAAAATCCTTTTTTTGTCCCTTTCTTTTGAAGTTTTCATTATCTAATATTAAAAATTATGAAGGAACTAAAAAGGAGCTAGATTTCAAACTTTAAGGACCTAAAAGGGGTTTTTTTTAAATAGAAAGACTAAAAAATGGGCTTTTACCAAAGTAGAGAGATCAAATTGGGGTTTTAATCTTTTTTTAACAATCGATTAATTTCAATTGCTCAAATAAAATTAGAATGAATTAATTTGGTACTCAATTAGTTTATAATCTCTATGGAACAATACTTAATTTTCATCATTATATTATTTGAGTTAATTAGTACTTTTACTACAAAAAAAATTAGTTTATCAATAAGCTCCTAAACTATGCCAACAATAGGCAACCAACCCAGTCAACTAAAAAAGGACCAAAGAAGCTCTCAAACAAAAAATTACTTCAATCTTGGGGTTCAACGGCTTGCTTGCTCCTTTGTAAGTTCAACTACGAGTTGCTTATTGTTGGCAAAGTTTAGGGACTTGCAATGGTAAGTAATTTGTACAATGAAGTGATTTAATGGAGTCAAGACAAGGGAGGCTAAGTAAAGTGGGCAAGGGATATGACCCAAATGATTTTCTTTTATGAATTGGGTTCCGAAAAAAATAAAAATATTCATTGTATCAACCTCTCAATTAATTATGTACGTAATTACATAAAAATAATGATATATGGTAGGTTTGTCATGATTATGTTCGGCTAAATTAAATGAGAAAGGAAATATAGTATTTCTAACATATCTGACTAAACAAGTGGCTTGGTTGGTGCATCTTCTTCACACATTTTGTCAATAAGTTAGTAAAGCATGCATGATTGTAAATCTACTTTGCATTTTACTAAGAATTGAAGAGTAACTTGTTACACTGATTATCAACTATCATTCCTCATCAATAAATAAAATTATATAACTTTTCTTTGGGAATGAAGTGTTTACCCATATAACATTTTGGTGGGTTCATATCCAACATCATTATCTAAGGTTACTTGTAGTTAACAATGTGTTACATGTAGTCAAAAATGTGTTTTATATAATCAATAATAATGTGTCACTATATGTAACCTTGAAGCAACAGACCTTTGTGGATTAACATCTTCCTACTTAGACACCATTTGTATGCATTCCTTCCACCCAAACTCAAGTGTTGCTTCACTTCCACTTTTTGGGTTTAACACCATGCCTTTTCATCTCCTTTGTCTTGCATGTCTAAAACCCTAAGGAATCACCTTTGAGTAACCTTGGGAAAACCTGTAATTGCAATTATCCCATATAGTTGTGCAACATCCATTTTCTAAATGCTACTACCCATCATTTCTTACATATACATTAACTAATATCTTCTACTAAACATATACTATTTCCTAAGACATTTTTCCATATCTAATAGTCATTCTCCTTATTCTTGAAACAAAACCATATGTTGAGATTGTATCTGCATTAATGATACACCTTAAGGATTAGACAAAAGAAATATCAATACCTAGTTGTTAAATTGTGAACATCCAAGTATCGCACCATGATAGCCCTCAACTCGCTTTTTGAAAGGCCATTCCTAACAATTTCCATAAATCGTAATACAAATATCGCATTGCTCTCTATATTCCATTACAAATACATGGGCAACACCTACAATCTTACAATAAATTAAGCTTCTCCCTCACTATACTAACATCCAAAACACGAATACTTCTAAAATTGATCCTACTTTCCATAGTTAAACTTTCATTGTTTTTTAAGTATTTTTACCTTATCTTAATCTATAACATAATGCAAATTTCACGCCTCATCTCATATTATTTTAATGGAAAATGATATGGTAACCCAATGAACGAACACACTACCCCACATATGCTATTTAATCATCAATGCATGCCACTAAATTTGTAACATGCATATATGGTTTATGAGGGATGAATGAATTATTGCAATTTAATAATTTTTCTACTTTTGTATTGTTTAGTTTATGGTAAGAAAATTGTTTGAAATTTATAAAATAAATGTGGAAAATTTGTTCAAATGTTGTTGGATTTTAGGTTAAAGGTGATGGAATTATGGAAATAAATAGAATAAAAATGTTGATGAAATTGTGAAATATTGTTTAAGTGTTTAGGCTATACATAGAAACAATAATGGGAAAAAGAATTTCTAATATATATAAATATATATGAGTAGGGAACTATTCACATACAAGTTTTACACATCACACTTACATAAATTTTCAACCATTCAATTCTTTACTTTCAATGGTTGATATTTATTACAAATTTTTAAGTGAAACAAATCATTATCTTTAATAATTATGAATAAATCTTAACATTAAAACTAGAGAGATAAATAGTTAAGATTTTATATAAGTGTTATGCATAAAACTTATCTATCCATGTTAGTGCATTAGGTGGAGTGTTATATTCAACATCAATGAATTTAGGAAGGAAATTTCTATTATAATTTGAATTCATGTGTAGCATTGTATACCATGTTTCTAAAATTTTAAATTCACCGACATAATGTTTTCTTCCTTTTTAATGTGGATGAATTAACACATGTAGTATGTGACACATGCCTAGACTTATCATTATATATCGCATTCGTGACTTAACACATTTACCAATGTGGAATGTCTTTCTTTTTTTTTTTCTTTTTTTTTTTTTGCAAGAATCCAACCACTATTTTGATGATACATGTTTAACATGGCTTTCTACATTAGTGAAGTACTATCAACCAATGAGACAATTATTGATGTATTGCACAACATTGCACTACTTTTAGCAACATATGTTGTTTTCTAGTAATGGTTGTACAGTATGTTAAATCGTAAGTGTGTATAAATCATTGTCTTTTTTTGTTTTGTTTTCCTTTTCCTTCTTTTTTTTTTCTTTTTTGATTTCACAATACAAAATTAGTGCATGACTTATTTTGAAACTGTGAAACATTCACCCTTGATCTTAAGGTAAGGCATACTTTTCACAAATTGAATAAGGCAAGAAAAGTACTAGTTAGAAAACAAATTTAAAACATTGTAGATGATAGTGCAAAAAATACAATTGTAAAAACCTTGAGAACCTTTGGATCACCTTCAACTGATGGTGTGACATCATGCTTTAGGGAATTTGATAATACAAGTTAGAAACTTTGAAATTAAACTAGCCTACATTCAAATGATATTCAACAAACAAGTTAATTTAAAAGATTACTACACGAAGATCAAAATGAATATCTTATTAGTCTCTTAAAAATTTGTGATTCATAGAAGTATAAAAGAGTTTCAAAAAATGCAAAAAACTTCAGATTTTCCCCTTTATTTTGTGAAGGATAAAGTAGAAAACTTTATTCATGGATTCAATTATTACTTAGGATGAGAAATGATCCAAAAATTTCTTAGTAAGTATTGTCCTCTTACTAAAACTACTAATATGTGTAATGATATCACTACTTTCATGTAGTTTGACATAGTCACTAAATAAAGCATAGGAAAGATACATAAAGCTATGTAGGATATGCACACATCATTGTCTAGTTACAACTACAAGTATTTTATAATGATTTTTTTACAAAAACTGTACTATGATTGATGTAATCAATTCAATTGATTCAATCAATTCTATTAAAATTGGTCTTAAAAAATAAATCAGGTTATGATATTAGTTTGGTAATACTATGATAGGCAAATTTAGTCAAATTTAGTCAACA